TTTGTTGTTGCCTGGTTGCCATGGACAGTGCTTAATGAGTATGATTCAGTCCCACAGGGAAAACGAAAGTATGATTTAGGAAGAAAATCATTTCATTTTCAGTTTAAAGTGGTCAAAATGCAAAAAAAAATCCTCAATTCAACTTGGAAATTAGTTTAGATCGCAGCATTTAAAAGAAAGAAAGCAGATTAAACCGGGAGAGAAAGTGGAACTTGTAGGGGAAAGGAGTGTTTTACAGAAGTCTTGCATGTTTCATTGAGAGCTATTTTTGCCTGATTTGGATGTGTTGTTTCTGTGTTGATGTCCCAGCAGTTTGGTGCTGCTTGAGCCCTCTACTGGGCAAACACACAACTGCACAGTGTCACAGCATCTGTCTGGCACAAGCCAGTAAATTGTGGGAAAACTTGATTGCATGAAATCCCTGTTTTAATGTTTGGAAAAATGTTGTGTCAAGCTGAATAAGTCTGCTTGTCTTGGTTCATACTTGTCTTGCTTACAGATCAAAGATCAGATTTAATGGTGCACACTAAAATGTTCATGCAAAATTGAGAAAAAGGTGGGTAACATATTATCAAAAAAAAACATTTATACATAAGAAGTGGAATAATAAAATGCTTAAAATGTATAAGGAGTATGAGACAAAGCAACGAGATGACAAAGAATAACATATGACATGTAGCTATTTGTTTTTGAAAAGTGCTCTACAAATAAAGATTATTATTATTATTATTATTATTATAGCTGGGATTGGCAAATTATCAGTCACTATCAGTCACTTGCTATTCCCATACTTGAATTCCAGTTTCAGGGATATGTAAAAAATGTTCAATTTAATTAGAAATCCACAGGCCATAAAATTCAGTTTCTATGTTCTAGCATGGCAAATCTGGATTCATATCAACTGTAATGGGTCAACTGTGGCATGCATAAAGTCAATGCAAAGTGACAAAAAGTAGGGACTGTTACATTAAGTCAATAGCGAGAAGCAGAACAGGGGCAGGGTGACGAGTAGGAGAGGCAGCAGAGGTAAAAGGGTGGTGAGAGGACGGCAGGGAGGGTGTAACAACAAAGCGTTACGAGGGCAAAGGCTGAATATGCTATTTTTAACCTAAACGTAACACCCAAGTTCTTCCCAAAAGTGGTGCCATGGTGTTCCAGAAAAATGGAGCTTTGGAAGAAATATTGTGTTGATATCATATCATATAGTTTTCTTGATGTAGAAGTAAGCTTGCATCATGAGATATTAGTGTGTAGGCTGGGTGGTACAAGTGTGGCATATCTTTCATGTGGGAAAGTACAAAGCCATGCTGTTATGAGTCATGGACCAATATTTTGAGGTCAATATAGAGTTTAACAGGGACACAGTGAAACCCCGAAAGGGTATCATGACCCTACAGATCATATTTTCATTTTATCCACATAAATGTTATCTTGATGCTTGTTACATGCCGAAGACTTTTTGTTTTTATCCATGCATTTCACTTAGTTCCTTTGTGATTGTGCTTGGTTTCCTCTACTCCGTTTTTTTTATTTTTTTTTGCTCCTCTTTGCTCTCTTCTCCTTGTAGCCTCTGTTGGTCACGCTGTCCAAACAGATCAAAGGTCACATGATAAGGAGAGGGCGAACACTGGGGCCCATTCAGCAGGCTGGACCAATAGCATATAGCACATGGGCATTGAGAAAAAGAGAGAAAAAGACAGAAAGAAAGGAAAGACTAGAGATTTTGGCCCCAGTGTGTATCTTGACAAGCCCTTAGAGAGTTCTGGGAAAGTCTTTTCACAGAGCTTTATAAAACATTGATTTGTTATGCTAATATGGCAAATTGTATTGAATACAGTAAAATATATAATTAAGATGGATGAACCATAGACTGTATCTAAAAAGGTATGAACGGTACTTGTCCTCTTTTATGGCGTGCACACATGTGTTTGCATGTTTAAATGTACAGTGTTTGTTTCCAAGTGGTTAGCTCGCAGGTAAACAGTGAGTGTATGTTGGTTAAGCCCATGGCTCCAACCCCTCCCTTAAGTCATCACATCATCAGATAACACAACTTATCAACAAGGGAAACACCGCAGAGGAAAGGCTGACCCTACCACCGCCCTCCTGCCACATCCAAACTGCAGCCACCAAACAAAAATGGCACAAGTGAAAGTAATTCATACTCAGTTGCCAGTAAATTAGATACACCTAGCTAAAACTAATGCAGTCTAACATAACAGGCAATGCAATAAACCCTTAATTCATGAAGGTTATAATGTACCATTTTTGTTGTAACCGATTCAGAGACGTGGTGATTCAACTTTATGGTCATTTTTGGAGGATGTGGTTTGTGGATGCGGTTAAACTTTATTGCTGAGAGGTGTTTGGAGGATTAGGTGGGAGATTTGATATGAACTAATTTTTTACTAATACATGTGCTAATTACAATTTCTGCACCTGGAGACAGAAGAAAGGCATCCATGGGTTTGTCAGATTCTGGTCCCTTAAACTGAACAATCTCTGTAAACCCAAATCAACATTATCTCCTTTGAAGTCACAGCACTTCAATGATGCAATATGCTAAGCCAAAAATTTGACATTACAGCCAAGACGCAGTTTAATTGGATGCCCCAATCATGTGAAAACAAAAAATCTGACTGTGGCAACGGTGACGAGGGGGAACAGCCGTACTTTTGTCTGGCACTGGGTTCCTCTCTCCCTCAAAAAACGTCATCAACGCTGCTATTCAGGGCATGGAAAACACTATTCCTGATTAGCTCCAGCATCTCATCAATAGGCCTGACTGTCTGATCTGACCTTTGGACAAATAGCCCTTTCTACTCAACCTCACTCCTTACAGCATTAATGGCCGGAACGGCTGGAGAAGAGTTAATTACTGCATAGCACATGGTTGGCATACAGCACCATGGCTGCACCAGGTCAAGAAGCACGAATGTGTCATGAGACGCCGTGAGGGTTTAACACATGTGATGAACAATGATATGTGGAGCTACAGTATATTTGTATAGAGAGAGACAGGCAAAAAGAAAGACAGGGAGAGAGTTTTCAGTACTAGATTAGGCGGTTTGACCCAATTATACGATTCATGCATGAGCTAGTACAAACACAAACACCTCAGTGTGCACAGTGGTGTATAATCACTCACATGTGCTGACAATTCAAATATCAATCCCTGCAACACCACCACCCACATACTTACATATACCACACACACACCTCCCACACACTGTGAGTATCAATATGTCTTTGTATGTAGCGTGAAATCCAGAACATTAATTGCTTTTCCAATTCTTTAAAGCTCCCAGCACCATTCTCTCATGGTCTGATTTTAATGGCATCTGAAATTTCAAGTTAAACTCAGCGAGACATTGGAACATTTATCAGTGTATTATTTTAAAAAGTTTTCTCGCTCTTAATCGTTATCCACACCATGCTTATGTCATTGTGTATGTGTTGTTGTCACCTTTTTGTGTCATTCAAGATCTTGAAGCTTATTCTTTTTTTCTTGAATGTTTTCTTTCTCTCACTTGTACCGTTTGTGTTGATGTTCTTGTTTATTTTTTACAGTTCTTTTTGTTGTCATTTATCTACATGGAATAAACCTTCAACACAGACAATATTCCATCAATTAATGACAGTATACGAGGAGGAACGTGAGTATCATTACAGTGTAATATAGCATAAATTAAAGATTTTACGAGAAGTAAGTCCTATGCATACCGAAACTCTGACAATATGACTCAAGGACTTCAATGACAATACAATTAGAGATCATAAATGATTTGTGAGCCAGCCTAAATTCTAAAGTAACGTGTCATGTTGGCTATAGCTCTTGTTTACACCTCAAGCCAATGCAAATGTCAATTCTGCTACACACACACACACACACCTTGAAATTAAAGCTCCATGTGAAGCCACAGTGATTAGATCAGTGCACCTGCAGGACCACAGGGAGTAGCCATCAGTCAGTGATCTGATCAAAAATACATCAATGTGTTTCCCCTCTGGACATCTGTATGTAATGAAATATTAATCAGAGGATCGAGGATCCACCCATAAACAACCAACGCTATCTTTGTCTTCAATTAAATAGGCTATCTGTGAGAAATTAAAGCAAAAAGCAGCCCGGTATGCTGTCATGTTTCCCTGCATCCAGCATGTTGACTCGAGCTGCGTCAACTCTTTCGTCAGGCCTCACTCTCCTCCACTGCTCGGTCTTGGACATATTTTTTATTTTAGTATCTCATGTCTTGTCTGGCCTCAAAACATTCCTGAATAATGTGGTAGCGGTCTTGGTTTCACACAAGTTATGACCTCTTTTCTGAATCAATTAGAACTGGCACCCACAAGAACTGTGAAATCTGTCATGTAAATCTGTCATAATGTGCTGCCCTCTGGTGGATGTAAATATGCAATACAGCATGTAGGCACTGAAGAGACATGATTGTACATTGGTAAGTTGTTTTTAGCGTTGAATTAATGATTCTTTTCTATAAAGTTTAATTTCCCTCATCTTGTCTGTCATTTCTCACGGTGGGTGGTGATGGCGCAGTGGATAAGACATGTCTTTGGTGTGAGAGATCCATGTTCAAACCTGTGAGACACCATTGTGTACCTGAGCAAGACACTTAACCTCTAGTTTGTTTGTTTTTTTAAATTGATAGTTTATCTTATTCATACTCTTCTTAATGTAAAATCAAAGCCCAATTCATTCATATTTAAAATCTCACCATCACTGATCTTTAAAAAAGTATACTGAGTGATGATGCTTTCAGCTTCAAAGTGTTACAACAAAAACATTTACCATCCAACTGAGTTTAAAAACAGTTATTATATTTATTTGAAAGACAACTTCTGAAGAGTCTTGTTGACCCTAATGACAGATGCTTGTTGTTGGATATGTTTCACAGTAAACTTCATTGTAACCCGTCCCTTCTAGGTTGAAGTGCTAGTTTACATTTAAAATTAGTTACTGAAACACCACCAGCAAGAGTATGACTAAGTTAATAGATCTTTATTTGATTTCATATCTTATGCATTTTCATTCAAAAGGCATGAAGATAGAAAAGGTGACAAAAAATGGGTCATGGATATAAATATACAAAGAGAGGCAAAATCTTTACAATCAGTAACATTACATAAAGGCTTAAGCTAGCCATATGGACATGGGGCACAGCACTTTGGATTACTAAAATTCACCAGAAGCTACGCTGGAACCAGGCTACATGATAGTTAACGTCCAACTTCATGCAACTGCCCAACATTCAAGCTGTGCCTTACCTTCACTCATAAACAAAAAGTTGGATTTATGTGCATTACCTTCCCTTCCCTTTGGCAATGAATATACAAAACTCTGCCCCACTGTTTCCCAGAACTAATGTGCATCATTTCTCTCCGAGGTAACTGCAAATACAGAAACCCAAAAATACAGACAGTTTAACTCATGTCTATACAGTCAGTTGTCACTGTTAAATACAAGACGAGTACCATGCCACAGATCAAAGAAATCTGACTGGTCCATTAAAAAGAGAAGCACAGTAGTACAGTCAAGTACAAGATGACAGAATAGGCCACATTGGCAAAACTGAAACTGGTCTACTTCAAGTATCCAATTACATTTCAAACCCCATCTAAAATCAACGGCTTTAAGAATTTACATTCACAGACATTACAAAATATTTCAAATTGGCACAAACTCTGATTAAGTATTTACTGAAGGTGCAGATTACCAAGAGCTTTTTTTCTCTAAATGCACAGAAGTCAAGATGCAAGTGCAATAATATAATAATAATTAATATCAACATTTATTTCAACATAAATTCATAAATAAGGGCATGGACAACTAATATAAAGAAAATGTGCTTTGAGAGGAAACAAGAAGCTAAAGCAAACACAAAGGACAACATCCAACAATCAGCAAAAACAATGAACCACAATGGTGAACATTAACAAAGGCACAAACTCACGCACGCACGCACGCACGCACCATGTACTAGCAAATACAGTTTATGCACATGCTTAGGCACAAATATTTAGTATGGGATCTGATTTTGGTAATACTGGATCATGTCGTAGGTTCTACTTCTGTAAGACAAAAAAGGAATCGAAACAAATGTGAATAACACTTTCTGGAAATATTAATATATATTAACAAGAATATAAAAGGATATCCGAACTGTTCAGACTTTTGTACTGACCTGTTGCTGAGGAAGCAGTTCTGGATGACTTTGATGATGAAGGAAGCTGCATCTTTCTCACTCAAACCAGGGTTGAATCGCTGCCTAGATGTGGGGAAAGAGACTATGAGCAACAGCGAATGACATTCAAAGTGCTTATTGTCATTCACACTGGCACACACATGCAGACACATATACACGCCTGACTCACTTGAGCAATTTGATGGTCTGTCCTCTGAAGCAGGGGAGGCCAGTGTCCAGCATGAGAGTAACTAAAGAGACCACACCATCCATGTAGGGCCTGATTCACCAGAGGGAAGTTGTTACATGTTAGCAATCTTCTTACTTCCGTGAACATTTGCCTCATCACTTCTACGTACGCACCTGACAGCCAGGTATCCCCTCACACACATCTCCATGAACCATTTGAAGGGTGTTGCCTCCATCTTCCCACCCATGATCATCACCATCTCATCGGTTAGCTTGATGTCTGGCTCCCAGCCGAGGTTCCCGCCAGGAGAACTTTCAAACATGAACCCGAAGTCTGGACACACACACACACACACACACACACACACACACACACACACACACACACACACACACACACTCTGAGAGTTTACTTTACAGTTTTTTTTTTTAATGCTCTAGTATCATGTTGCAGCATGAAGATAATAGCTGGCCCTATAATTACAAATACAGCCAAGACTGCAGACAAAATGATGCAGAATAAAGGCCATTAAAGGTTATTATTTGAATATCGGACATAAAAGTTCCAAAAGTTTGATTACAGCCATTTTGCCAATCTTGCTAGAAATGTGGAATGGGAGAAAAAATGATTCTTAGATGCATCGCGATGCAGACGTGGAAGATTCTGATTACATCAACAAATGTCAAAAAATAAATCATTTAAATGTTAATTGATAACGTAATGTTGACGGAACGCAAAAGGTGGAACTCGGGGAAGTGCGGGGGCCTTTCTCATTTCCCAAATTTCCACTTCCTCGACTCCTTGATCCTCGATTCCTCCAGGCGCATTTTAGTCCCGCCCACACGAGATGCGGGCTGGAGGAGTCCAGGAGGAGACGCAAGGAGAGAGGAGTCAAGGAAACGGGCATTTAATGAAATGAGATGTCCTTTCCTCGGAGCCGTCATTTTAAAGCGACTTCACTTAAATCTGACATGTTGCACAGCTGCATCATCTGTCCACTGTTAGAGCTGTGATCTCTGTCAGAGCAGCAGATCTTTTGGCACTAAAGGCTACAGATCATTTCTTCACAATCCAGAAACATGTCTGTTAACATTATAACATGCAGAAACATCTCGAGGTTCTAATAAACATTATAGCATCTGTGGAAAACAGTCAGATTACAGCAGCCTAATCATAGACTAGGCTACACAGTAGGCCTACCACTTTTTTGCGGTGCACCTGTAAACAGGAAATCGTTACAGCCCTCAGCTTGATGAGACGAGCGTTTCATCATCAGTCCATTTACAAAATGACACAGTAACATTTATCTCATATAGTCTCAATTACAGCTGTCATCACAGGACAGAAAAAAACCTGCAGGGTTAGGCAGCTGACAGGACAGAGAGAGGAAACTTTCAGCTTCTATAGTCCATGTTTAGACTCTGATGGAGCTCAGGACTGACCAAAAGGACGGCTGCTTTACTCCAAACAGTTTTACTATATGAAACTGAACTCTGTGTGAGACCGTTTGGACGTGAAGAACACAGAACATGAATTAACACCAGATCCTCACCGATCCTGTCGGCGTGTTGGGAGATTTATTATTATTAATTTATGTTGCTGTGGCTTGTGCGTAAATGCGCAGTGTCACTGGGGAAACGCTTCATACAGCCGCTATTTAATGTTCATTTTTACAATCCTGCTGCCCATCCATCACATCCCATTCAACATCAGTGATATCAAAGTGAAATGACATTAAGGAATGTGGTTAGAACAGCTCTTTATGAGGCGCTACACGAACGATGAAGGGCAGAAAGTTTGATCGCGCATTTGATTCTTTTTAATAGGCTTAACTGATACAACTTATGAAAACAACAGAAACACTGCAGCGTCCTGCTCCGGCTATGGGTTGGTCCAGCTGCTTGTCACGCCTCTTGTAAACATCATAGCGGCTGAAAAGACTTCCGCAAAGGATACACCGATGTATCCTCCAGCAAGCCTCCTCGATTCTCGCTCCTCGATGTGCATTTTAAGAATTCAGATGTACTTCAAGATGGCATGCTGAGATCGATTTCCAGGTCACACGCTCGAGGATCGAGGAGTCAAGCAGACAGAAATTTGGGAAATGAGAAAGGCCCCAGTGTTCCCCCTGCAGAATGAATAACTGTACCATTAGATGGATGAGAATATAAGACATAATGTTGACGTATACTAACATGTTATTTGGTTAGCTCAGTTGGTAAGCCGTAGGAGTCACAACCCAAGTGTTGAGTGTTCAACTCCACTTTAGGACAACTTTCCCCTCTCTTCAACAAATGGATTCTGCAGCGAATGTTTCTCAGATCACGGAATGTGCTGCACTGTTTTTGTTTCAGTGTTTGATCCACATCCATCAACCTACTGACGCTTTTTCAATTCCCCAGTATCTCCAGGCAGGAAATTTAGGGAAATCACGTTTTCTGACGGCTCTTTCAGAAGTGTGTCAAGCAGGCTACAGAGTCTTTTAATGTCGTTCAGTCTTTCAAAGTATAAGCTCAGTTCAACTCTAATACTGCATAACAGTAAACAAGCTTCTTGCGCTTTTATTTTGTAGGCAAACCACTAAAGAGAGTTGCTGTTGTGACTGAGATCTATTTCAGCACCGCTATCAAAGTATTTATTTATTTATATTTTTGCCGCTATCAAAGCACCATAATCTGGCCGCAGATATTATTGCTGGTGGGAAGTTTTGTCAATGGTCCATAATCACAGAGAGAATTGATATGTTTCCCTTGTCAATGTTTGTATAAACTTCCAAAATCCATTATGTGGTTTATAATGGACTGGGGTGTAGAAACAGTGACAGTGTTTCACACTCTTGGCTCTGTCAGTGGCCAAGTCACAATAACATATGGTTTTACTGAATAATTTCATAAATATAATTTCTTAATAAATATACCTTAAAACCCCTAATTTCTTGACTGGCCACTCTCTGCTGTCTCAGAAGAGACACCTTTGTGCTGTTGTCAGCCACCGTAGCTGACCTACGCTCTTTGAAAGGGCGCAGTGGTAGGACTGGACAGATGGCTGCATTTCACAACCCTCACCACTAGATGCCACTAAATCTTACACACTGAACCTTTAATGAAGTAAACTAGTCCTTTTAAGCTGATTAGGAGATGTTTCTCTTGGATTTTAATGCACAAATTTAATGCTTAGTAATTATCCAGGGATCCTGTTTGGAAAAAAAATTATGTATCAAGATGCATCGATAATCGTTTTATAATTGCATCGCAGCCCTCTGAATCGTAATCGAATCGTGAGGTGCCCAGAGATTCACTATGGTTGGGTATCGAGAACCAGTTTCAAGTTGGAACCATTAAGAAATTTCCAAGAACCATGGATGTGTTAAGACACGTGCATTTCAATTCTGCTCATCAGTTCCAAACTTTTTGCATATTTCAGTCGCACTCCCGATTGAACTGCAGTGAACCTTTTAAATTCCATAAAAGTTGCACTTATCTGCCAGGACTTGCTACGCGGACCTAACATCACGTCATTTGTACGCAGTATGTGAACAAAGCACGCAAGAAGAGAGTACTTCTGTTTACATTCCTGGACCATGGTGGACTGCAGCAAACGCTCAAAAGTTTGGCTTAGCTTCACTAAAAAAGATAACGACATAGCAAAATCCAATACCTGGAAGCATCTCCACTAAGACAAAGCCTTTACTTCAACATTGGAAGGAACGCACCATGTTCGGTGTGTTGCAGTCTCCCAGCTAGAGTGGCGTCCAGATACAGCTAACAGGAGCAACATCTCACTCAAAGGTAAATACATGATGTCTACAAATTATTCCAATATTTACTTTTTCTTAGATATGTGCCTCCAGAGACACCCCTCTAGTACAGAGACTCCTTTTACTTTAGCCATGAAGAGGAAACTGAGCTTTGATGTGAAATGGTTCGAATCAGAACCAAGATTCAGTGACAGCCAGAAGAATCAGAATCGATAAAACTCTCAGGGAAATGCAAACAATACACACCAATGTGAATGAGGTGGCCCTGGCTGTCCAGCATGATGTTGCCGTTGTGTCTGTCCTTTATCTGCAGCAGGAAGAGTAGCAAGCTGTAAGCTGCCATGCTGCGGATGAAGTTGTACCGTGCCTGAAAAGAGAAATGTTGGAAGGAGTATCAGATGATTCGGTTAGTAATTATGGTACACTTTTACAGGTGTAAATGAATGACTGATGGTAGAAAAGCCTTTACAAGGTTGTGAGATTTGGTATTTACCTTCTGGAATGCTAGTGTGGATTCATCTCCATACTGATTCCTGAAATAGTCGTACATGCCGAAGTCTGTCTGTCTGCCCAGCTGGTCCCGAGACTTGCAGTCCGGGATGCACTCGATTACACCACACTGTGGTAGAACATCAGAAACAGTAAGATTGAGAAGTGGTTTGATTATAGGGGAAAGTTAAGACTTGCGGTTTCATCATCTTAAATGAAAATGTGTTTTGAACATGTCAAGAATATAGACGAACAAAGAAAAATTTTATATGAACTCACTCCAGGTGCTGTGGCCACCACCCTATAAGGAAACACATAGAGATCCAGGCCCACCAGCTGGAAGATGTTCTTAAACAGGCTGATGATCTGAAGAGCCAGCATGTCCTGTGAACACAAAGGACGAAAAGGTAAAGAAAGAGAATTCAAACTAAAATAATTAGGTCACGTCGAAGGAGGATATCACAAAATCAATGGAAGATAGCAGTGTAATAAGTGAAAGGACTGTGAAGCTGAGACCTGTCGGCAGTCGTCTCCCACTTTAAATATGGCTGCCTGCCAGCAGATTCTCTTGGCCTCCTCTTCACTCTTAACCTCATCTACAGAATCTGAGCGACACTGCAGACCTGAGGAGAAGGTGTCACAATGTTTGTCTGTGCACACACTTGAGAAATTCAGTATTTACTTTCATTTAACATTAGCAGTACCTTCTTTTTCAAGCTCGCTGACTCCACACCTCCTAACTTTGAATTTAGCCAGGTAGGGGGCTTTGGCAGCACTAAATAGAGACACAAAAGGATACAAAAGTGCTTTTTATGTTCAGTGAAGTTGTCACGTTTCAATGTGAATTGTGGTAACTGTAACAAGTATTACAGAAGATGATTTTGAGGCCAACCTCTGCATTGGGGTCCCAGACTTGTAGTCTATATCCAAAACTATGGCCTCTGGATTACTGGGAAGATAACAGCCGGGTTGGACTTTGATCTGTGACATGGCTTCCAGGCAGGCCCTCTTCCTCTCCTCTCCTTTGGGAAAAGGTCTGATGAAGACACACAAAAACAACTTGAAACCACAAAGTTTCCACAACTCTTCTATTATACATTGGTATCTCACTAAATGACTTCAGACCACCAGTGACAGTCGGGCTCTGTTGTTATTCACAGAGGGGAGTCACTAGGGTAGAGAGTAATAGAGAGTGGAAGCCAGGGGACAACCAAACTTTCTCCCCTGGACAGCTGCAATTAGTGCTGTAATGAGGGCTGATGGGAATTTTGTCTGCCTCTAGTGGACTGACAAAACACTCTCTGTGAGAGCCAGCAATAATAGGACCTGTCAAAAAAACTTCTCATCAGCTGCAGGGTGTACACATGGGCAGACAGGTAGTCAGGGGCAGAGGGAGACGGCATGCAGTGCCTTCCAGACCGGTGCATAATCAGAGAGACATGAGACCAAACAACAGCCAAATAAATGAACAACAAAGGGATTAAGAGAGTAGATCACTGGTGCAAGGCAGGTAAAGAACAAAACACATTGGCTCAGGGGAAAACTTGTTATCACTTCATAAACACCTTGAACATTACATAGAGGGTTCTGTTTAACAGAAAAGTTAAACTGTAGTTATACTTTAAGGCCTTTGGCAAAGTTCAGCGTCTTGGCTTCATAAATATTTCTCTTTTCTTTCAATGTCGCTGTCAGATTGTCAGAGTGCATTATACACTCACCAGCCGCTTTATTAGGTACACCTGTTCAATTGCTTGTTAACACAAATAGCTAATCAGTCAATCACATGGCAGCAACTCAGTACATTTAGGCATGTAGACATGGTCATGACAACTTGTTGAAGTTCAAACCGAGCATCAGAATGGGGAAGAAAGGGGATTAAAGGGACTTTGAACATGGGGTGGTTGTTAGCGCCAGATGGGCTGGTCTGAGTATTTCAGAAACTTTTGATCTACTGGGATTTTCACACACACAACCATCTTTAGGGTTTACAGAAATTCTCAGAGAAAGAGAAAATTTCCAGTGAGCGGCAGTTGTGTGGACGAAAATGCCCTGTTGATGTCAGAGGAGAATGGGTTAAACCAAGGTATGCAGAATACCATCTCTGAACGCACATGTCGAACGTCGATAAGACACATGCCTTTGGTGTGAGAGACACGGATTAAATTCCCCACTGTGACACATCCACCAATGTGTCCCTGAGCAAGACACTTAACCCCTAGTTGCTCCAGAGGTGTGCGATCTCTGACATATATAGCAATTGTAAGCTGCTTTTGATAAAAGCATCAGCTAAAATTTAACAAAAATGCTCCATGTCACAAAGTCCAAATCATCTCAAACTGGTAACTTGAACATGACAATGAGTTCACTGTACTCCAGTGGCCTCCACAGTCACCAGGTCTCAATCCAATAGAGCACCTATTGGGATGTGGTGGAACGGGGGATTTGCATCACGGAAGTGCAGCCAACAAATCTGCAGCCACTGCGTGATGCTATCATGTCAATATGGATCAAAGTCTCTGAGGAATGTTTCCAAAACTTTGGCTGTCCAACAAAATTTCTGGTCTCTCAAAACTGATACAAATACTTCAGTCAGATAGGTGGTAAGTGGTAAATAATCTAAAATGTTATAAAAACTTTTCAGCAGTAATGTAAAGAATATGCTACTGTAATTAAACGTGCAGTATGGTCCCTAGAGTAAAATAGAAAAAAGCAAAGCGTGTTCATACTTGATAATGGCCGACACATTGGTGATTTTGTTGAAGAAGTCAAACTCCCTCTGGTAGAAGTCTTTGGCCGGGCCAGACAGAGAGCCAGTGATCTCCTCCACCATCTGCTCCAGCAGATCACCAATGTCAGCTGCAGGGAGAGAGATCATCATTGTGTTTTACATTAGTATGTTCAAGTGTTGTGGATGTGCACATGTGGAGTTAGAAAGAGAGAGTGAGGGTGAATATCCCACGGTCTTTATGGCTTCCTTCCTCATCCAGGAATATGTTGGTCTTCATGTTCCAGATGAACTGGTGAGCCAGAAGCTGAGACTTCTGAGCGGCCCACAGGATGTACTCTCTCACATAACCCATCTACACCAGGTTGTGACAGGACAGAAATACAGGGAGAGTTCCGACAATTACATAATCTGAATATATGCATTTTCTTTAAATGCATTTGCTAACTCAGAAAATCTGATATTTACCTTGTCGTAACGAAGCGCTTGGACAATTTGAGGAATGTAAAACAAAATGGCATCCTAGACAAAAGGAAAAAATACATTTTACCAGCGAGGAAAAAAAGAAATGCCATAACTTTGTCATTGTATACAAGTGAAACAGAGTCCTCTGTAATGTGGGCATCCCTTGGGCTTATTAGTGTTAATTATAGACAAATTAAGTGATTGGCTGGCTTACCTGCCTACCTGCGCACACTCTGCCCATGCACTTACTGCCATGAAAATGTGTTTTGGGGCAGTGGCTTTGGTCGGAGGCATGAAAGAAGTGGGTGGGATTTTTCCAGTTGGAAACTTTCAAAAATGTTGCTGTCTCTTGATAGTCCAACGTTGCATACCCCCGGTTTAAGAGAATAATGGCAATTTTATTGCCCAGGGAAACAAATCCAACAGAGATGACAACAGCTGATTGTGTATGTGTGCTGTACCTGCATACCATTAGCTGCCTCTTCTGCCCCTATCACTTGTGGAGTACCTCAAGGTTACATTTCAGGGCCTATTTTATTTGCTGTGTATGTGCTCCCTTTAGGCTCCATCTTCCACAAATACAATGTTTCCTTTCACTTTTACTCTGAGGACACTGCCTACCACTGGATCCAGGGGATTCCAAAACCATCACATTCATCCCTAATTGTCTGCAGGATGTGAAATGCCTGATGGCAAAAATCTGCCTTCAGTTAAATCATAATAAGACAGAAGTGATTGTTTTTGGTCCACCCAACATCACAGGGAGTATAGCTAGCCACTCAGGGCCACTGTCATCAAATCTTCATGCCGATGACAGGACACATGGGTGTCATTTTTGAGTGAAATTTGACAAACAGATCAACTCTGTGTTATAAGGTTGCTATTTTCAGGTAAGTCCATCCTGTTTCTCTCAACAACATGAAGATCCGCATTTATCTCCTCAAGACATGATTTCTGCAAATCACTGTACATGGGTCTTGGCCAGTCCTCTTTGTCTCGCCTGCTGCTGATGCAGAAAGCTGCAGCGAGACTTCTAACTGCTACCAGAAAAAGACACAGCATTACACTGGTCCTAGTATCACTGCACTGGCTACATGTGTGTAACACAGGGTTGGTATTAAGGTTATTTTATTTATTTTTAAAGCCATGGCAAACCCTGTACATTTTAGAACTTCTCTGCCCCAACTCTAACTCTAGGCCACTTAGATCCTCAGAATAATTGTTTTTAACTGTTCTACGATCGAGGCTAGTGGGTAAGGGAGCTTGTGCCGTTGCTGTGGCAGCCCCAAAGCTTTGGAATAGTCTTTACTCAAATGTTCCCATTCTATTGGCACTTTTAAGACAAATCTCATGTTTTTAATCTTAGAGGTTTTAGTATTTTTTAAATAAATTGATCTTAAAAGTTTTATTCTGTTTCTGTTTTAAATTTGTGCACATATTTCGATATTGCCTTTTTTCTATTATTGCCATTTGCCATTACCTTTTTCCTTTACTTGCTATTGTTGTGCCATTTATTCTAATTTGTACAGCGCTTTGGTAAACTCGGGTTGTTTTAAAACATGCTATATAAATTTGACTTGACTATATGTGAACGTACAGGAGGAAAGGAACGAAGCACTTTGACCCCATACTGGGCTGTGAGAGGGTGAGGAGGGTACAGGGAGGAGAAGTAGGACAGTCCAGTTGGGGGATCTGCTGGGGCCCAGCACAGGATATGACTCAGCTCTGGAGAGTCAGCATCTATTGTGTGCCACGTCACCAAGAACTGAAGAAAAACAAAAAAAGAGAAACAAAATTGAGAAAGCCAAAATTTACATCATTTATAAGTTCTACTCTATGTACAACATGCATCACAGCATCCATTCAACATTATATATGATGCAAGGTTATGACCCCAAACCTGAGGGTGTGCTAACTAGCCTCCAGAGTAGGCTGTGTTCATTAGTTACTAAGTGACAGGAAGGAAAAAAAACAACATGTCAAGGATGATCATCTGCTAAATTATGGTGGCCTTTGGGGAAGGCCATGATCTGCCTCCCCTGCTTCTTCTTTAGACAGATAAGAAGCTCATTAAGAGTTCAGTCAGGTAGAACTAAATGGAAATAGAGGACACTGGAGGGAAAAATATTACTTCAATAACACCAGCATCTCTCAAGTGACAGAATATGACCACTTGAAAGCAAAACACTGAGGGCAACTTAAGAGAAATGTAGTACCGGGAACTTGTGAAAAAATCATGTATTTAAATGCTTAAAGTCAACAAAGGTCAACAGCACTCAGTGAAACCACAGTATTATTTACCAAGGGCAGTAAAAATCCTTGCTGAAAGTGTATGGCTATAGACGATTGTAATGATCCAGAAAGGGTTTTAGTCACAACAGATCTTTAGATTACACATAAAACTAAGATAAAGAACAGTAAGCACAGAAGAGAAATTAGAGAGAAAACTTATGACAGCGGAGTGGGAAGACAGAGTAGCAACTTGTCTTGTCTGTAAGGAACCGCCATCCTGTTGGTTTGTAGTGGAAGGCGGAGGGCCTCACCTTGACTGCTTCTGGAACATCACACACAGCAGCTGGATCCATTCGCACTAGGCGAGTCACCTCAGAGACAATAGCCTCCGTGTTTTTAAATCTGAAAAAAAAAAGAAGAAAGAATAAATTGTGTGAGAAGTGCAACTTCTCTGCCATCTTTGTTGTGTTGCAGTTCAGGCACCGTTCAATTGCTTCTCGCTGCAATAGAGAGCAACGATGTACAGGGAGTTATGGATTTCACCTTTTAAAAATTTCACTTATTGGATTATTTTCATTTCAATTGTTGGAAAAAATCTATTACACTTTCAGTTTGACATTGACGAAACATGGGTTGTAATGCATTTTTTTCTTGGTGTACCTGGCAGGCAGCTGCAGGGCGAGGTACGGTGCTATGCTCCAGGCCAGATTAACATTGTCCTTCCACTGTTTCTCCGTCAGACTGATATATTTGGACCTCCAGTTAGCGATGCTGGTCTCCACGGACTGTTCAGTAGCAATAGCCAGCTCCTGAGTGGATAACGGGTTGTACCATATTGTCAGCCGTTCAATCTCGCTGGCCTAGACGGAGACACAGGGAACGAGAGTCATCATAATTGACCAATAAAGTGTCATGTATAGATGTAGAAATGTAATCATTTGATGTCAATTCCTTTATTACCACATAGTTGTGAATATAAATAGTGGTTGAGAAAGTGTAAATACCAGTAAAGCCAGTAAAAGAGTCCGGCGTTTCATGTAGTACTTGTGAAGCTGAGAGCCTCTGTTGCTTTTTTTAGATAGTCCTGAAACAGTGCAGGACAGCAACACATCAGTAATATGTAATATCTGGAAATATTATATACTTAAAAATACTTATTTCACCTGTGAATAAGAAGCAGGTAGAAGTAAAGTTTCATTGTGATCATCTTAGCAGCACATGGTGTGTTCCAGCATAGCTCACTTAAGTTTAACATCCTGTGTGTTTTACCTGATTTCTTGGATATGGTGGACATCCCAGAGGACAGAGGGTAGGTGTTGATCCATCCCTGACCAACCTGCTGCCTCTGGCCCACAGCGGCATCAAGACTGCTCCGGCTATCCGTGACTGTCACTACAGACAAGCTGTTCACAGACATGTCTTGGGGATCTACTCAAAGAAAAATTGAATTAATCTATCATGCAAATCAATTATCCACCTATCAAGAAAATTCAAATGTAAAGGCCCAGATACCAACTTTATTTAGGAAATTATCATGATAAGGATTTAAGGGAGTAATAGGGGAAAATCTGCTTCTTCACTTCTCAAAAAGCTCTCTGAGGGTATTTTAGACTACATTTTACATTTTGACGTCCTTCTAGAAGATATTTTGAACCACTCCCTAATCTGTAACCTGGGCCTTCTAAACAATCAAAACAGTGAAGTTATCACTACACTACCCTGGAGTGTATAGTAAAAGTTCAATTTTACATTTATATTTAAATTTTATTTTTCTCAGTGCTGTACCTGGGGGAACCAGCTGGCTGGCAGCCAGATACTTCTTGTCAGACTGCAGGCTGGCATAGAACTTGATCATTATACTGATGTCTTCTCTCAGCCTCTTATCTGCCTGAGTTGGAAATTTGGGAGCGACACTACACAAAGACAGAGATGGCAAAAAAGGGACAATTTTAAATAACACACAAGAGTTTTCTTTTTGCCAACCAAACACAATTGAATTTTTTCTACCTGAAGTAGTCAAAAGCTGTGGAATAGATCTTCTCTCTAAGCACATTTCTGATGGTGGAATTTGTCACAACATCAGCATGCAGAAGAGTCAGACCCAAAGTCAGCAGTCTGGAATGAAGCACAATAGTCTTATGAAGTTTAGGATTCAGTAATTATTGCAGCTGACAATTACAACATTTAAGATTAAACTAATTTCCTGTTGTAATAATGAAACACGGTACCTGAATCTTGGTCCAATGGCAGCAACATGTCGGTTTAGGCTACTTTTGGGTCCTCCGACGCTCAGAGACAGAGATCTCTGCAAAATGGCGGTGAAAATCTCCACTTGGTCAGCACTGCTGTACTTAGCTATCTCAAACCTCTGCACAAGAAACTGGAGGGAGAACAGAAAAAAGGAATAAAGAGGTGATAGTTTCCAACCCTTATACCTTCAAAATAATGAGTTCAACTCAATTTTATGAAAAATACATGAACATTATAGAAACGTTCTAGGTGAAATGCAGACAGACATGCAGCAAAATGGTAAACTCTTCAAGTTTCATCCCCCAAAAAATTAATTTTTTTAACTGTCCAAAAAGTGGGTAATCTCCATAATTAAATCTCCACCCACAGAAAGTGATAAACCAAAACAGAATAAAATGATAACTGTCTCCTAAACAACATCAAGCAAGCAGACTGTTAGCAGACAATGTAACAAATTTAAATGTTTCATGTTTAAGAGATTTGCTAATGTTACTACAGTATGCACCTTTAGAGTAGCGTCACTGCATTAAAGACCAGTGGATTGGTGAACATGAGCATGCTGTGTGTATTTTACTGACATCAAGTTCAGTGAACTTTGGATACTGAAGTTTAAAACAACTTAAAACAACCAGAAAGTACAAGCTAGCAACAGAGAGGACAAGAAACCAAATAAGTTTATGTCTGTGTGTCACTGACCTCTATCCAGAGGAAGTGAGGGATGACATCAGGTGCACATGGTGCAGGTTGACTCTCCTCTGAGACAGCCAGGGGGCCGGCCTCTACCTTGGCCTCAGAAAACAAACCCATCTTCAGCTCTACTGTCATCTGCCAAGCTCCTGCCATCTCACGCATGAACTAGGCAGACAGAAAAGAGAAGATAAGAATGAATCTATTATACAATATATCTTGACCAAGACACACATTCATGTAACTAATTATTCATATGATTCATGAAAAGGATAAATAAACATACTGGCACTTCCACACCGTTGTGTGCAGCCAGGAGCCATTCCCAGCAGGCAATAGCAGTTTCCATGCCATGTTCTGTAAACATCTTCAGAGGAGACCAACACAGATGGTGCAGGAGCTGAGGATCGCAGTCTGAAAGAAAAAATATTGAAATTTACCATAACTGAATTGTATGAAAAAAACAGCACTATTGCTGAAAGATGATAAATATAAAATCAAATGAAGCAGAGCTGCTCACTTTTGGTAGTTATGAGCAGGGCGGCCATCTTGAACATGACCTGGGTGAAGCCCTCTGGGTCTTTTCTGTCCAGAGCGCTGGTCATCTGATGGATCATCATCTTGCTGAGGTCTGACTGGCTGTGAGTCGCCTCTGAGAACTGGATCATACCAGCCACCTGGACAGCACATAAACAGACAAGTATTAATCATACTGTATGCAGAAAGTCCAGGAAAGTCACACCAATCTTTATAATATTAAGACTTCACCTCTCCTGTGTAGCGGTTCCGCAGGTTTAGTGATGCCATGAAGTTGGAGTAGTCCTTCTTCACACACGCTGGTCTCTCTGTCAGCTGGGTGGTCTAATGAACAACACAGTTTCGGAGCCGCTTAGGGCCAGGACACAGTCGCAAGCTAGGAAAGTAATATACGTAACACTTCTGGATATCCTAAAGGTATCATGCCTGAAACCTGTCTCTCTGAATTTAGTGTTTAGACCAACCTGAGGGAAAGCAGCCTACGGTTGGCCACATGGTGGAGGACAGCACCAGCATAACCAGTTAGCCAAATGGGCAACCAGCCAACCAACCCACCCGTCCATTGCAGGTAAGTAACCAGGCAACCAGCAAATCCGTAAACCAGGCAAGCAACCAGGTAGGCAGTTCGGTGCAGTTTAATAAAGATAAAATACAACAAATGAAGCAAATGAAAAGACAGATATAGCAGAACGCTTGATCCAGAACACATAGAAATGCATAGCAAGCAAAATAATATCACACAGACTAGTAAGCACGCACACATGGACATATAGGGCTGTAAACAACTACAGACAGGGGACTGATTAAAGGAAACACCTGAATAAAGAGAGTGGAGAAACATTTCAAATGCAGAAGCTTCCATGCACCAGGTCTCACTGAAACTTGTGAAAAACGACAAACGTGTAAGACAACGCTCTCCACCACCAGAACACCAAATTATATATATTTATCTTCAAATCTATTTAGTGATGTCTGTGACTGACTCTGGTGCTATTATGTCCTTTTGTTATGTCTGGCTCTGGTTCTTTCTTTCTTTCTTTCTTTCTTTCTTTCTTCTTTCTTTCTATCTGCTGCACTCAGGTCTCTTGCAAGAGATCCTGATTTCAATGAGAGGACCTGATTAACTAAAGGTGGTATACATAAATGAGGGAACATCTTGTTCATCCCTCCAACAGAGTTCCACAGACTTGGCAAGGAGCAGTGAAGCTGTTCTGGTACTGGCACTTTATGTTGAGTTTGGTTTTTCCTTTAAATTGTCACCCATTTGTAGATTCCCAGTGTTTACAGAGCAAGAATACATAAAGAAAAAAAATAATAAAACATATTTGCATGAAGGATACAAGACACTTCTGCTCAGTGTAAACAAAACTGCAAAGACTTTGACAAAGCAACTAAAAAGCACATTTGTTAACGTGTTAGACATGTTGGACAAATGTTAATAAGCATCAAATCAACAAGTGGTAGCACACAATAACTTATTGCATCCTCAATGCTCTAAAAGGGCTTGTGTTGTGGTTTTTTATGATGTCTAAACAATGTTTCACACAATCCACTATGTTGAGTGGGACAGCCTGACACTTGTTCTGCAGTCTTTGAATACTAAAATGTGACAGGTAGCTCAGATTATGACCACATCATTAATTTGGGATGTGTAAATTTGTCTAAATTCAACCTGCCTTTAATCTGGGAAAGGGTTTGTGTGCAAACCTGCAGGGATACCAGCATGTGTGTGTGTGTGTGTGACTCACGCCAAGCGTAGTACTCTGTCTGTTGTAGCCTGCAAAGTGCAATATGCTCTCTGTGGCCATGGCCAGGCCAGTATGCTGGGACAGTCCTGAGACCCAGTTCTGATGTTTGTTCAAGTACTCCTGCACAAGACATGACATTCAGGTAAGATATAGGAATGGACCAAAATACAGAAAGGGGGGAAAAGAAAAGCAATAATGGAACAACAATGACAAATATCCTCTATAGTCAAAATATACAATGATGACTTTTCTTATACTTGCTTTCAGTGCAGCCACTTTTGTTGGTTTTTTCTTAACTAAAAGTAAGCAGTAGTTACAATTAAATGCACTCCTTTAATTGAGTGTGTGTTAACCATCTCCAACTCCCCAGTTTTGTAGATATTTATGATGTCAAAGAAGAGATCTCTACTATGAGGAAACATAAAGGTATAGAAATTCACCTGTAGGTGGGACTTTGTGACTGAAGGGGCCCATTTCATTGCCTCTTTCAGGATCTCACCACAGCGAGCAGCAAAGTCCTTCACTATGCTCTACAAGGAGATGAGGAAACCAGGATACAATAATTTATGAAATAAAGAACATAAGTGTTGTAAGACAGTTAATGTCAATAAAATGTAATTTGTAAAACATCACATAAAAACCAAAACTAAGGATTATTTAACTGATGAACAGATTTAACAATCCAAAAAGAATGGAGTAAGAAAAAAGGCCACTTCTGTCTTTAAAACAAATACTGTGCTGTCCTCTAGTGGTCATAAGTGTTCAAACTCACCTCTCGGGCCTCATATGTATCAGGAACAGTTATCCTGTAGGGGGTGTCTGGAATGTCATAGTATGGTTGATCCTTGTGGATGTCCTAAATAAACAGAGAAGATATTTTTGCAACCGAAACATATAGTTGCACATATCTATACACTGCACCAAAAGAGATACAATACAATTTTATTTCCCACCCCTAGATGTTCTTGTTCCTATAGGGATTCAAACTAACAACCTGGGGCTGTGTTGTTCACACCTGCCCTCCACTGATACTTACAGCACTTAATGACAGAGAGAGTGTCTGCAAGATGTCCAACATGGTCTTCAACACACGACCGCTCCAAAGCAGATGGGGGAAACTAGTAGAAGTAACATATAAGACAAACAGGAATAATACTGTTTAATACGGTTTTCAAAGTCTGAGACTGCCTCATACAAAGTTACGGAAACGGCACCCTGTTTACTTGGTAAGTTCGCTCAATTCCTGGATGCATATGGGATCATGATTATGTCTGATCCCAAGACCCTCAACATTTGAGCCAAAATAGCCTAATATTGCTGTTTGACATAACTTCTGACTACACCAAATAGTATTTAAAAAGATTTTTCCTGAGGCATTTATTAGTTTCTGACTGATGGGGAGAAACTAGTACTCTACTCTCACATGTAGGCTATTCTATGTGATCTCCTTTTGATAACTAATGCAATAAGTAATGTAATATTGTTTACTTCCATTCACTGAGCCTCCCCTGAAACTGTTTGGAGCCCCAAGGGAGGCATGCCTCACACTTTGAAATATGACAGGGAAAAATTTAGGCTGACGAGGTTCTTGAATCATTTACACTCACGTCTCAGCCAAACCAGAGAGGTATTTGTCAGCCACTCTGCGGATCCTCTTGTGAGTGTGGTTAAAGTTGACCAATAAGAATTGGGCATGACGCTCCAATTCCTCCTCGTGCGCTTTGGTCTTGGGCTAAAAACATGAGAAATACTTTGGTATTTATTGATATTGAAGAATAAGACATATGGTCAACAAGACGTCTAAGGCTTTTGAAATTGTTTACCATCATCCCAAATTTTAGAAGAAACCATGCTACCTAACCTTCTCAGCCATCATTTGGAGGAAGACATCAAACACCTTATCGCCAACACATATAATACACAGCATCATGCCTGTG